AGAAAAAAGAAGAAATTGTTTGTTTTTATTTTATTTTATTTTTTAATTTGCAAGATTCTATGTATTTGATTTTTTACATTCTTAACATTCCATAGCTACCCACACTTTTTGTGAGAAACTATGAAATTTTTATATGTACTGTGTTAAATAATGATGAGATATTTTTTTTTTGTCCAAATGTTTCCAACTAATCTTGAACAGGGGATGTCCAACACTGGGCTCTCTCATGTTCATTACAGGCCCTCCATATCTTTAGTGCAAAATTGTCACATTTCTGTGTTTATTGAAACTAACGTCATTAGTTTTTCATCACTCTCCTTTAGTTACTAAAACTTGATATATATGTTAGATATTCATTTTTCCAAGATCTTTAGATTTCCAACTTTATATCATTCGTTTGTATTGCTAATTTGATTTTCGGAAAATTGATTTCAACCTACGAAAATATTTCTCCTTGTATTAATCATCAAGTTCTTTGATAGTTCATTCCTCTTAATAATCAAAATTAATCTACTTTAGTCTCATACCAGACTGAAACGACAAGATACCGCTCGACGTTTCCGATTTCTTCAGCACTTACTCGACAAACGCTTTAAACTTCCAATTAATTACAAAATACTCATATGCATGACTATTATAAGGCCCTTTTGGACTTACGGAGTTGAGCTATGGGACTCCACTAAACCATTGAATTCCTCTCGTATCCAATCCTTACAATCCACAATCCTTCGTAAAATCGTCAATGATCCCTACTTTGTTACAAATAAAACCATCCATAATCACCTTAATGTTTCTTATGTTTCAGATCTGGCCCAATCCAGATACCTATCCTTCCATAATCAACTTCAGAATCATCCCAATCCTTTCCTTTCTAGCCGAACTTCCTTTTCAATTCCTGATAACCCTCCGAGGCGTCTGAAAAAAAGATGGCCCCGTGATCTCCTAATGTAGACATATCATTAGAGTGCTACCATTGGGTAGTTACTCAACAAGTGTTTTCACGTCATTATATCCATATGCGCAAATTTACTAAATGTATTTCTTTAATACAGTTTTAAATATCATTAAAAAATACAAAAAAAAAAACAAAAAAAAAACAAAAAAAAAAAACATAGTATTTATTAATCTATACATAATGTACCCACTCTAATATTATCTTGTATTTTAATTTAAATTGAGAAATTATAATTTTGTAATTATCTGTATGTTGAAAATATATATTTTTAACGCGATTTATACTTTTATTGGTTTATTAGGACACTTATGATAATTTTTCCTAGTCCATATCTTCCAGTTTGTGATATTAAAAACACTGCCAATAAATGAGCTTTATACACCTGCTTCCCTCTACTTATGTCCACAAAACCTGATATTTATTTATGCAATATTTATAGATTTTTTTTTTTATTTATTGATGATATTTACAACTGTATTACAAGTAAAAATACATTCAGTAAATGTGAACAATAGAATATAATAGCATGAAATCATTTGTTGAGAAACTACCCACTGGTAGCACTCTAAAAATGTATTTACAAAAAGAGATCTCGAGGCCATCTTCTTTTTAGACGCCTCGGAGGGTTGTCAGGTATCGAAAAGGAAGCAAGGTTAGAAACGAGAGGGTTAGGATGGTTCTGAAGTTTATTATGGAAGGAAAGGTATCTGGATTGGGCGAGGTCAGAAACATAAGGAACATTAAGGTCGTTATGGAATCCCTCAAATATCTCCGTAACCATTGATTCTACCAACAAAAAATATTTACAATATATTTATTTCGAAGTAATTGAATTTTTAATAGAATAATTATTTCGAAAAAATTCATAGTTTTTTAAATATTCACAGAGAACTAAAAACATATCAGTTTCCTGTCCTAGTTTTTCCAACCAAACGGTTGAAACTTCAGGACTTTCAACATTTTATTAAGGGGAAGGTAATAGAACGGTTTCTGACAAGTTTCAGCACTGGTCGTTCGGATTTCGAGTGTTTTTTTCTCTAGTTTTATAAAATATTGGCGAATAGGTCCTTTCTGTTTTCAGGTTGAAATAAAATCGGTGTAATTTTTTAAAAATTTTTTTTAAACTTTTATTATGATATTTACAACTGTATTAGTATGATTACATCAAGTAAATGTGTACAGAGGAATATTATCACATGAAACACGCTTGTTGAGAAACTACCCATTGGTAGCACTCTAATAATTTGTCTACATGAGAAGATCACGAGGCCATCTTCTTTTTAGAGGGTTATCAGGAATCGAAGAGGAAGCAAGGTTAGAAACAAGAGGATTCGGATGGTTATGAAGTTTATTATGGAAGGATAGGTATCTGGATTTGGCCAAATCGGAAACGTATGGAACATTGAGGTCTTTATGAATTATTTTATTTGTGACAATGTAAGGAGCATTTGGGGATTTTAAGGAGATTGGATGCGAGAGGAATTTGATGGTTTAGTGGAGCCCCATAGCTCAACTCCATAAGTCCAAATAGGTCTTATTATAGTCATATATACGAGTCGATTATAATTGATTGAAAGCTTAGATCGTTTGTCTAGTAAGTGCTGCAGTAGTCGAAAACGTCGTGCGGTTTCTAGTCGTTTCAGTCTGGTATGGGGGTTCCAAAAAGAAAATATGATCTAAAATATTAGTATAGATGTCCTAGATTATAAACTTAAGCTTCGATTGTCAGTTTTCTTAATATTAATTTTCTTTTTACATTTTTTATCTTGAAGAACATTTATGGAGTTGTTGTTGATCTATGGTTGCGTTGTACCAAGTGCCGAACATGACTTCTATTCTGCATTGATAAATTGTTAAATAAAGGACTCTTTTGATGTTTCAACTTCAATTCAGAGCTAGAGTGATGTCCGCCACTCATCAGTAAAATCTGTGCCAGATTCAACGATCTGATATAATTGAGGCAATTTTTTTCAAAAAAGAACAAACGAGATATTTCTTGTTTTCATTTATTAAACCTTCATCTAAAATTATTTTTAACTACGGATGATTTACATTTGCTATTGTAAATAAAAAAAACAAACAAAACAAAAATAAGGAAAAATAAATCTCGTTAATATTGTGAAAATGACGAATTCTTTAAATAGAAATAAATGTGTATTAAGATTTTGAATCGCAAATTACCTATTTAGCATGACATCGAAGCATTAGGTATAGGAATTTATCTGTCATTAAAGTACGACAGATCAAGAAGGATTCATTGGTACTTAACCAGACGGGCAATCCAATTTATTCCTGAGGACTCCAGTTGAAGTATTCGTTAAACGGCTCATCGATAGAAGCGTCATCATTTCTTCCGTCCAAGCATCTCCAACGCTTTCATCGTTAAAATTATTTGATGCTTAAGACTGATCATAATAAGTAGTATGCTAAATTTTGTGCTTAAGAAATTAACTTGGTCATTAAGAACCTTTTTTATTTATTCAGCAATATAACAATCTGTCACACTCAAAATAATTATAGTGAGATATGAACACATTCACACCATATATACAGAAAACATAAAATAAACAAAAGCAAGATAAGAACTAAATAATAATCAGAAAGTATATACAATAAAATATAAAATAACTTAAAGATAAGATATAGTATATACAATAAGCCAGGGAACCCCAAGCCAGGCTTGTCCCTCAAACTATAGAGGGAAAAGCAGGACTACAAGAGATCCCTGCGGTACGCAGTCAACCGAGTCACTGGTGCTAAAACGAGTGGAGATTCAGTACTTCACTCTCATGTCTTGAAGAACTTTTAAAAATAGATTTTCGTTTTTATTAAATGATATTTATCAAGAATCAGTTAAACTATGTAAAATACAGAGAACATTCTCTATTTGGTAATTTATTTTATGTATTTAAAATACAAAATAAAATATATTTTTTGTATTTTATTATATTAGAAATAGAATTCAAATGTCTTTTTTGTACTTAAAAAAGAAAGTACAGTTACAATATATTTTATATTTTACTTTTTAGAAATAAAAATGAAAAATCGTATGTTGTTTTGTATCTTAAAATACTTTACTTGAAATATTGCTGGCTTTGAATATTCTACAAGCTTAAAAGATTTGCGTAAAAACGAGTTAATGAACGAACAAGGATAGAGCATCCCCGATTTGGCCGCCGTAGTTTACTTTGATTTCATTGGAAAATTTTTAATGTTAGTAAAACATACAATATAAAAATGAGGTGTTTTTATTTGACAAATAATTAATAAAAATAAATAATAAAACCGTATATGTATACTGTTTTATTATTTATAGTATGATGAGCTGTAAGGAGAGATAATAAATTAATTTTGAAGAATCAAACTAACAAACAAAATAAAATTTTGTAATTAATTTATTACCACGATAATATCTGAAAAATGGTTTTAATATTAAGTATCATAAAGCATCATTAAGCATCGTAAATATTATCATTAAAAGAGCCCTATGGGATCAAAGGAATTCATTTTTTAGAAAACAATGGAGGAATTTATAAAGACTGCCTTTTTATCATGAGGAATATCTCGAAGGGTCAAAAGTACAAAGGTCACGTAGGTCAAGAAAGGCCATCGGATTCGAAGAGGCGGAAAATCAAAACAGATTTGGGGTTGTTCGTTCAAAATCTATTTTTCCCTTCAAATCCACTAATATTATATGAATGTTAACTCTATAGAAAGCTTTCAATGGAATAATTAAAAAAAATTGAAGGATATTTATCGAAAGTTGAGGAGCTGCCAGGAAATATATCAAGACTTTGACTGATCTAGGCATTCCTGAACGACGGACGGGATCAAAGGGCGAGCTCCCTCCTTACTTGTACTGGTACTGGAGAGGGAGTATCAAAGGGAATCCTCCCACAAGTCCCACGCAGTTTGCAGGCCGCGTATCGATTCCCTCAGGATCGACGTAGGGACACCTAATACAGAGGGGTTGGTACTACTGCTCCCAGGTCCAGTCGATACAGTTCCCTTGCGTGGGATATCTCCCACTTTCGGGTTGGCAGCACTGAAATCCCTTCTAGTGTCAATACCACCCACACTGGCCCGCTGATGGTCCTCAGATAGACGTCGTCAGTTCTGGTCTAGTTGTAAGTCTTACGTCAAAGAGTAGACATTTTAGAATGCATGCAGCTGTATTTTTTTAAAAACATTTATTTGGCATCCAGATTGTTGAAAAAAATATTTGGACTAACACGATATGTGTGAATCATTAATTGATAAGAAAATATATGGAGGGTCGTTTTTTTTTGTTTTTTTTTTAACGATTTCATATATTTGTTATATTGACGAAATAATTCATTAAAATATAAACGTTCACATACTTTTTGACTTACAAAACTGTCAATACTTACCTTCACTATTATCATTTAAAAAAAAAAAAAAGAAAGAATGGAGATAAATTATAAAGCTGAAAATTACAACTATATAATTATAATTAAAAAAAAGAAATAAATGTTTTAGAATATTTTATCCATAAGGGTCTCCAACAATATGTTATGATTGATATTTATATATGTGTAATGTATTAGAATCAATACAATTTTATAGGAGCAAGAAGAACTAATATCTACAACTAACATATTTTACTTCACTACGTATAATTCCATGAATTATTATTTAGCACACTACGCAAATATATATAATAATGTTACCTCGAAACATGGCTGAAGTCACCATAAACTAGTTGTTGAAATTCGGATTTTTATATATTTTGATTTTAACGCATAGAAACATTCTCAATCAAATCAAATAAATTTGTAACAATGAAAAAGCAAGTCAAACAGAAAAGCTTTACTTTCATTCATTATAAAAGCAAAAAATTAACTAAGATTAAAAAAAAAAAACATTTCCCGTCGTTTTCTCAAAAGTAATCTCCCCCTTTTTTTTCCGGAAAAAAAGGGCAATGAAGTCTTTTTAGGCTTTGTGAAGATCTTTTGTCATTTCGTGGGGTCAAAAGGTTTTCGCATAATGAGGCCTCCTGCCTCTCCAAATTTCATACAATCCAGTTTTAAATTATTAATACATATGCTTAATTACTAACTTTTAAACAATTTATAAATTCTTTTCTTTACTTCGATATTAATTTGGAAAATAATTTTCTGTTATTTCATGCAGGAATTATTGTGAACACATATACGTGATGAAGGAGAGGAAAAAAAAATCGTTCATTAAATTACCATTGTAAAATATTTCTTTTATATATACAAAAAATTTTGTACAATACTATTAAAAAAAACATTATTTATTTAATTTTAGGGGGTTTTTTATGCTCATTGTAACACTTATGGTATTACAATTTTTTTTCTAAAGAAATATCAATAATTGCTAATTACTTATTTTATAATTAAATATTCAATTTAAATTATAAAATTTCATTAAATTGTAAAAAAAGTCTCTATTGGAAGTAATAATAATCTCAATAATCTTATCTCCGTTAAAAATTAAATGGAAGTTTTTATGAATTAAATTTAGAATTTCTCAAAATTTCCATTGACGACGTTTACTCAAGAAGTATTTTTCTGGCATGGTGTTGGTTTAGTAATGTCCAAAAAATATTTACGATTCAAAAATGTAGAAAAATAAATGTTCTTCACTCGAAATTTGTGGAATGTAAATGATGTTGATTAAAAGAAACGATCAGTTTACTATATTTGTTTACTTCATTGTATAAGCGTTATCAATTCAATAATAAAGCGTTATCAATAAGAGTTATATGTATAATTTATATATCAATTCGCTCTAATACAACGCATGTAGGAATTTTTAGACTCAATAAATATGAATTAAATGAGGTTGTCACGTAATATTTTCTTTGCATTCTCGGCTGAATAATTTCATTGCTGCATTATCCATATATATAGAAGTAGGTATAAATGATGTCTATTATAAACATCATAAATCGGATTATAAGCTTAAATGCTTTGAATTTTAAAATTTGACCGTTTTAAACAAAATATATTATGGTAAATCTAAATACTTTTTTTAAGATTAAAGAATAAAATATTAATACCAACAGTTCTACTTTCCTATTTTTGAAACTCTGATTATGAACTATAATAAATACGATTAGAAACGTTTGCGAAAAATAACATAAAAAAATTATCATTATGTCGATTTTATTAAAACTCATCAATCAAAATAATATAAATACACTTGGAATATAAAAAAATGAAATATCACATGAGTGAATGGCTAACTGATAAAAATGGTCCATATATATATATATATATATATATATATATATATATATAATACATATAGGTATCCATCCATATGTTATGTAGGTGTCCATATCATGTGATGTTCCATTTTTTTAAATTCCAAGTGTATTTATATTATTTTGATTGATGAGTTTTAAGATGGATATTTTTCGCAAACGTTTCTAATCGTATTTATTTTGTCGGGTGTTAAAGGTGGGACACATTAACACACACATATATATATATATATATATGTGTGTGTGTGTGTGTGTGTTAATGTGTCCCACCTTCAACACCCGACAAAATTTGCTTCTTGGATCTTTCCTATTCCAAACGATCAACATCCGGCACCCTTCCTACATCTACAGTCTCCTACAGTTCAAACTCATGATCTACTCCCAGAAAACAAGATCCCGTGTTTCCGACTTTTATACCCTTCCCATAGAACTAAGGCATTTAAATATTCCTTTATTGCTTGATCCATTGCCTTCTGGAATTCCTTGCCATCTGATACCCGCCATGTCTCTTCCGTGTCCCCTTTCAAATATCATCTCTACCGATTCTTTCTCACATCCCAAAATGGCTCTGTAAATTGAAATCCGTTTTATGAATAAAATTTTTATTGACGTGAATGGTTGTTGGAATTGTTAGAGATTTAATTTTAAGCATCAACTCATAGTGCTTATAACTTTTTGTTATTCATTTTCTCTGATTTATTTTTTCTTTTCATTTCAATGTTTGTTGTTTTGTTTTTTCAAAATGGTTTTACTGTTTATTTTTTATATGTTTTTACTTTAGATATTGTATAAATTCTTTAATTTTGATTAATGTAGTTTTTGGCCAGGTATGGTATTTGTTTTTTGTTCATAATTGTTATTCTTGAGGGACCTTGTCCCAGAATAATGTCTATTTTCTATTCCTGTTTTTAGATATCATTTTTATTGATTTTACAGATCTTTTGCTGGTTTTGAAATTATCTTTAATTAGGATGTTACATCACAGTCTATATTTATTACCCAGACTATATAGCACGATGGTATATTTATCATTTATCTTGTTTTTCAGATGAGACTTTTAGGTTGATGTACCTTATGGTACTATTTGTGTTAGTAGTAATTTTTAAAAATTACAGTAAACTTAAGTATAAAATAATTGTTAAAAGAAAAAAAAAATTCAAAAAAGTAATTTTTTTTTCCAAAGAAAGTTAATTTCCTATTTTGTTACAGAAGAATTAGAGCATGTAGGGTAATCTTACAGGAGCTATGAATAATTATGGAAATACGTAAAGAATACTGAAAAATTATTTTGAAAAAATATTATTTTTTTTATGTGGTAACTTCCTTAGGCGTGTTTTGCACTTTCTTGTGGAGAGTGAATTAGATTAATCCGTCTGATTTCCGAAGTGTTAACGCTCGGGTGAAGTCGGCTACAGTCGACTAATTAAAATATTTTTACATATGGATTAAAATATCTCAGAAACTAAAAATCGGGCCGGCATACTGTAAGTGAGAAAATTGTTCTGGATTTCATCCTCTTTGTAATACGCTATAATTCAAAATTGTATCTTAAATCGACACCGTGTTAGGAAGGCGAAAAGGAAAAAAATAGTGTCGAAAACCAAATGATAACGAGTTGAGTTGAACATATGGATTAAAATATTTCAGATACTAAAGATCGGACCTGTATGCTGTAAACGAGGAAAATGTTCAGCGTTTTATCTTCATTGCCCTGCGCTATTATTATAATTTTATCCTAACCCAACACCGTGTTAGAGAGTAGGAGAGGGAAAAATATAATGTGTGGTACAGATGCTAATAGTATTACAGCATTGAAATTTTATTTTGACAAAATTATTAACAATATATAAAAATTAAGAAGAGAAATAATATAAATGATGATAATAATAGCAGATGTTCTTAAGCATAATGGAAAACATATAATAATATAACATTACATAACCTTCCAACTTGAGACTTCCACATAAATATTATACAGTTGTTGGATACAATTATTAACTTAACATAAATTAGGAAGTATCACTACTTTAAATAAATAAATCATGAGGACATTTTTAGATTACCAATGCTCAGATGTCTATGTTTGATGTAATTGAACTTTATTATTAACTTTAAAAATATCCAGTTCTAAGTGAAACTCCTAGATGAATACACCTCCCTGATGAAGACCTGTAAATTCGGGTCGAAACGTCGACTTTCAATAAAATAGTTTTACCATTATTTAGCCTATTTATGACCGCAACCCCGGACCATCTCCTTCCTTTATTATGCAACGGTCAACTACTAAATATTCAATTTAAAAATATCTGTTTTATGTTTTATGAAATATATTATTAACTTTAAAAATGTCTTATGAAACGAAATTATACTAATTAACCCTAACTAGTATACACCTCGAATACATGGATTAGTAAAGTTACATAAAAGTAGCGCTCCGCCATGCTATTAATCTCGGCTTGTTGATGTTTTCAATTCATTCGTTTGGTCTAAAGCACACCCCTTAGTTTTTCAATTTAATTCACCTTCTCTCTGACGATGAAGTGGATATTATGCGAGGCCACTTCAATCCAATACCACCGACAGTTGGCTCTCTTGAGAAGGTATTGTTTATATAATTGGTCTTAAGTTAACGAGGTACCAATATTGGCATTTTCACGGTTGAAATGACTCGATGCCATAATTATGTTTCACAATGAACTGTTAATTAATGGCCAGAGTTGGCTTTAAAAAAAAAAATCTTCTTCTTCATCTTGCCAAGAACTCTTAACTAAGGGAATGAAGTTTTCCAGATAAGCTAATCTCGCTGAACCGATACCTTACCTATAAGACCGGAATAAGAAACCTTTTAAGGAGCGATGAAGACCTACAAGG